AAAACTATTAAGAGAAAAAGAATTCTGAGCATAATAGTATTCCTATAGATAATGTATGTATTCCACAGACAGGGCCACAAAACAGCTGAATACTCAAACCTAATATTTCAAAACAAGCTAAAAAAAATGAAGAACCAACAGATGTGAATAAGTAATAGTGTAGGTGAAATTGTGAGACAAAAAGATTTGAAAAGAAAGCTAACCAAAGGACAGCTTAAGAAAGGCAGAACATTTCAGAAGGAATAACTGAATAGAAGGAATAAAGAGGAGAGTAGACACCATAAGGTGAATAGGGGATGGAAAGGAGGAAAATAAAAAAGCCAGAAAGGAGATTATTTAAAGAGTGGAAGAAAAGGTGATATAAAAGGTAGACAAAGAAGGTCCAACATACACATGGGTCCCCCAAAAAGAAATGCAAAGCAGGGGAAAGGAACAAATTGTTTACCTAAAACAGTAATTCGGGGATGTTTTTCCTTGAAATTAAAGAGAAGACTTGAATTATATCTTGAAAAAGTGCACCACAAGCCTGGGAATATCAGCCCAGAGTGATAAACGTTAAGACCTATTTTAATCAAAATGACTGAATATTAAAGAGAAAAGAAAAAAACTGTTGGTCATTCAGACAAATAGAGTAAGTAAGCAAGAATGGTATCAGACTTTCCTACAGCAGCGCTCAGTGCCAGCAGACAACTAAACAGGTATTTAAGATACTCAGGAAGAGAAAAAGGAAACCAAAGACATTATATAAAGCCATACTGATGTTCAAGTATGAAAGCTATCGGTCAACTGTTATGAACATGCAAGGTGCCAGGAAGTATTATTTCCCATTAGCCTTGCCTAAGGAACCTACTAGAGAACAAACTACAGGCAACCAAACTGAGTGAAGAGGTATAAACATAAGGACTGGGTTGCGGGGGCGGGGAAGCATTAAATTTATAGTCACCTGTAAAACTCACAGTTCCATGACTGTCAAAGAGATAATACAATTGTACATTCTGATCATGCAAATATAGACAAGTATTAAAAATTGGGAAATTGTCTTTCTCCGCTTGAATTATTCACTTAGCATAATCCCCTCAAGTTCCATCCAAGTCGATACAAATGGTGACAACCATTTTGAAGAAAAAAAAAAAAAGAATGGAGTATGTATGTGAAAAATAGAATAAATTCACTATTGCCTTTACATATTAACTGGAAACAAATGAGTATTTCTTCTAATTAGATGCTAGAGGAAAGGGATGGAAAAGAAACTGAGACTACTGGCTAATTTCAGTGTAGTTGGGAACCAACCCTCGGTGTCACAAAGGGGGAGGACTAAAAGTATTATATGAAAGTATTGATTCAAATGCTAACCATCAGAACAGTAGTGACGGGCTTTTTACCATAGAGGTAGAACAAGAGGGAAAAAACATTTGAGAATACACCCTCCTCTCACATGAACCTCCAGACCCAAGATGTCCTTTCTCATCCTTTCTCCAGTCTTTAAAGTTATGCCTCCATCCAGACAGCCTTCTCTGATTCTTCTAGCACATGTTAATTGTGCCCTTCATCAACCACTCCTAGGTACTGGCTCCCTTTGCCTCTAAATGTCTCACCTTTTCTCACCAAGAAACAAGGAAGCAGTGCTCTATATAGTTGTATAGTACTTCTTTCAGATTATGCCACAGGGTTTTGCATGCAGAAGGTCTTCAATAAGTGTTGGTTCATCAGTAATTTGGGATTGATGGAAGGATTTGGGCTTCAGCCCCTAGGTTTTTCTAAGAACTTAACATTGATACTAGTCAGAATTCTTTGAGTTTTGAAGTGACAGCAGTCCTATTCAAGTTGACATAAGAAAAAGAGGAATTTATAGGCCTCTGAAATTGAAATGTTTTAGGGTAGGATTCATTTCAGATATGGCTGGATCCAGGTACTTAAGTCATTATACCAATATCAACCTTTCTTCTTTTTTTTTTTTAAGATTTTATTTATTTATTTGAGAGAGAGACCGTGAGAGAGAGCATGAGAGGGGAAAGGTCAGAGAGGGAGAAGCAGACTCCCTGTGGAGCTGGGAGCCACATGTGGGACTCGATCCCGGGATTCCAGGATCATGACCTGAGCCAGAGGCAGTCGCTTAACCAACTGAGCCACTCAGGCGCCCCTCTTTCTTTGTTCTAGACTCTGCTTTCCTCTGCATTGTTTTTATTCTCAGACAGGCTCTTCCCTCATGGTCAAGGACGATCCCCAGCAATTACAAGATTAACATCTCCAGGAAAAAAAGATGTGTCCCATTTGCAGTAGCTCCAGTAAAAAAGTCCCAGGATTAAGTTTCATTGGCTTGGCTTGCATCATATGCTCATCCTTGAACCAATCACTGGCCAAGACAAATGCTTTTGTTGGCCAGGCCTGGGCCATGTGAACACCCCTGAAGCTACATCCCAGTGGAGAAGAGGGGCTTTCCCAAAGGAAATTAGGGCACTGTTACCTGAAAAGGGGAGATGGATGGGCAAAAACAGCAGATGTCTGTTTTAGTGTTGATGTGTTCAGTGAGCAGACTTGCAAGGAAAATTCCCACAAGTGAAGATCATTCTTCGGGGTCCCAACTTTGAGATGTGTGGATGGAAATCTCTCTGGTGTTTTCAGAGTCACAAAGGGCTTATTTACCATGTTTTGGGTGGAGAGGAGCCAATTGCCATGGGGCCCAGCCACGATGAAGGAGCCAGATTTCCCACAAGTTTGGTGGTTTTTCTCACTGTGGCCCACATGCTCAGCCAGAGGACAGTGAGGGGTCTGGGAGGAGGGATATTTAATTTGCAGAGGCATTTTCAGGAAGAGTGAGGGACTTGAGGAACAGGGCTCGACTGAATGCTGAACGTCCCGCTGAGTGGCTCCTGTGATCTCATCTTCTGTTTCCTGGGTTAGCATCTGTACTGTGTTTTACCTTTCCTTATGATTTACTACTAGTCTTAGATTAGAGATTCAGTGAAAGCACCAGTGCCCTTGGACACTAAAATTCTTCCCTTCTCCAGGCAAAATACCTCTGTTTTCTTCCTCTTGGAGATTTGAGTACCTGGTATAGATCATTACCCTGGATTGGGGTAAAGAGAATCCACTGAGGTAGCAAATGGGGAAACTGAGGCAGAATGGGTAGACTTGAAAATGCATATGTTTCTCTCCTACATATTTAATACTTTCATCTGCACTGGACCCTTCCTATCAACATTTAAGCATCCTTGAGTTTCTGCCATTAAAAAAAAAAAATCTCCCTAAATTACACTTCCATTACCTATCTCCCAACTCCCCTTCATGGCAAAACTTCTTATAAAAGCTTTTTTTTATTCCATCTTTCCATTCCCTCCTCCCCATGTCTCAGTCCACTCTGATCTGCTGGCATCCCTGCCCTACACACACACACACACACACACACACCCACCCACCCACCCACCATGAAAGAGTTCTCTTTAAGTTCCTCATCAGTTCCAAGACACTCCAGTGAGGGAGAAAAATGTATTCATTTCTTAGGTTGAAAAGCAGCATTATGATTTTCAGTTTTAATAAGTATTTGTTGAATGATTTAACCAGCTTGAGCTAATCCAGGGTACAGTGACTTGTACTGTTATTATCAAATCCCTGGGAGAGGAAATAGAATTATTTTGCCTAGAGAAGGAAGAGTTCTAGGATCCAAGGGGCACTGATGCTTCTCCAAATCTCTAAAGTGCTACCAGACAGAAGAGGAAGGTGTGGTCTGGATGGTCCCAGAACTAAGAACACCTTCAGGAAGGGGGATTTCCTCTCATTTTCAGAAATATTCTAATGGTCAGAACTCTGTAAAGAAGAAAGGACCGCAACAGGATATAGTGAGTTTCCTGTCACTAGCACTAATCAAACAAACTATTCTGTCAGGAGTAGTCAGAAGAGAGTCTTGTGTTGGGTGGGAGATTACCCCAGAGGACTTCTAGGTGGTCTCCATGGACCTGCCTTTGCCACTCCCAGCTGTGTGGCCTTGAATAAATCATGCAACTTCTCTGTTCCTGTTGCCTCAGCTGTAAATGGGGGTGCATAATAGCACTTATCACAGAGGGTTGCTGTGAATATCCAAGTGCCATAACGCACAGAGGGCTCAGCACCATTGCCTGGCATGTAACAAGTGCACAATAAATGTTAGTGGGTATTTGTACTTAGTGCAAAGCCTTGTTCTCTAGATGGCACCTGATTCTCAAGCATCAATGTCATCGGCTGCATTTAGCTTTTAGCTATGGATTTTCCTTGGAACTGAGTGCAGAGAGAGCCCGGGGAAAAGTGCTAAAGAAGCCATCATAACTCCTGGTGTGCATGTCGTGCTGTTAACAGCAGTTTTTGCCAGAGAGGAACCTGGAGACTAAGAAAGTAGTTTCCATTATGTACCACATAGGAAGCCTAAAATGCATCTGTTTTGAAAGGTGAAAGATATAGGTGGGCCTCCCCCTTCTCCTGTCCCTTCCCTGCCACCTCTTAAGCTCAAATCAACTATGCAAATATTTTCCTAGGGACAGAATCCTATGACAGTTTACTCATGGTATTCTTAATCACAAAGATAAGCAGTCACTCATTTTGGCGTAAATATGCCTTAGCTTATGAGCTAGGTCCCAGGAGCTTCCGTTCCATATCACAGGAATCCTCTTAACAATTCTGAGAGGGTAGTTCATTCCCCAGTTTGCAGATGAGGGGACTAAGCCTCAGAGAGGTTAAGTAGCTTTTCCAAGGTCACATAGTTGGAGCAAGGACCTAAACGTCCAAATTCTTGCTGTTCAGTGAATTGTTATCCATAACCTCTGGAAAATTCTGGAATTAAGGACATTTGTATTTAATGAAGCAGTCTCCAATAATAGAACTCTTAAAGCACATTCCCGAGAAGGTTAGGAAGTTTGATTTTTGCTTTGCCTAGACTTTTTGGAGGACAAGGGAGGGTGGAGGATTTCCAAGAATGGGGCCACCCCTAATCTGACTTCTCTTCATGCTGACTTCTTTGTGCCCTCCTGCAGGTCTGGGTAGATGCTGGGACGCAGATCTTTTTCTCCTATGCCATCTGCCTGGGTTGTCTGACTGCTCTGGGAAGTTATAACAATTATAACAACAACTGCTACAGGTGAGCACTTCACAGCCCTACCCGCTGTCCACCAAAGCCCTCTGTGCTGCCAGGCTAGTTCAGGCTGTCCTCCCACTGTGTGGAGCCAGGATGAGACAGATGGCTTGTTTCTTAGACTCTCCCTGCCCCAGGGTCACAAAGTGGACCACCTGAGGAGCTAGGAAAATAATGAATGTGTTCAGAGTACATTGCAGGCTAAAAGCAAATCCACTCCAGGAATCTTGTTCAGGCCTCCATCCCACCCTGTATGGCAAACATTTATCCCAGGGCAAGTAAGTGACTTGCCCACAGTGACATAGCTAGTAAGTGGCAAAACCAGGACTTGAACCCAGATCTGGCTTTGTTCTTCTGTATTCTGTTCAGAAACCAGCTCCCTGCCCCTTCTCACTTCATGTAGGCTCCTCTCCTGTCCCCATCTGGAGTGGCCAGTGCCCCATCTTCCCCCACAGCCTTCCTCCCTGGCCTCCTGCATGTGGCCACACCCAGCACTGGGAAGGGAGGTGCCCAAGTTGGGGGCTGAGCCTGACACTGTCTTGCCCTGGCTGCCTGGTTTCTCATGCCTGCAGCCTGATTTCTGCTCTGAGGCTGAGACCCACTGAGGGCCAAGAACCCACCCAAGGTCTCCTAGCATAGCGGTGCATGATTCACGTGCAGATGGCACCCTGAGCTCTAGCTCTAGGCCAATGGTCTGTTTGCTGAGGTCTCTCCACCCCTGCATCCAGTGCCTGGTCATGGTAGGTAGCTCTTTGGGGGTCTCATACCTACTAACCAAATAACTCAATTGCTCTGTGGCTCAAGTGAGATCATGCATTTGAAAGAACATTTAGCAGTGATAAAGTTCCTCCCACATTATCTCCAGCTACACATAGCAGAACCTGGACTCTGGCTGAAGTCTCCCGGTTTCCATCCCAGGACTCCCACACATCTCTCTGAAAGCTAGCTTCATGGTCACTTTATTAATCCATTCACTAAAACCATGTGCATTGTGGCACTCCAGAATCAGGAGTGGCACAGCCTCAGTCTACAGAGTTCATAAGTTGGGGAAACTGAGGACAAGGAAGTGACAGTGAGCAGGTCCAGCATGCTGTAAGGAAAAGCCATGGTAGAATCCAGTGTGCCGCTAGACAGCAAGTTCTGTTGTTCCTGGGGGAGCTTGTGCAGAGAGGTATCGGGTAGAGCTGGACAGAAGGCTGCTGGAGAGGTGGTTGACCATGCCAAGTTGTTCATAAGATCCTCTCTATCTTCCACGCATTCATGGAGAGGCAGGTCTGAGGGATGAGAGGCAGAGCACTGTGAGCCACTATATGAACAGTCACCATGGACAGGAAGAGAAAGGCACTGGGGCCGGGAGAACAGCACAGCAGGCCTCTGGTCTGCATTGAATGTGACCCACTTGGGATGTTAGGGAAGGTTGCTGTTTGTCTACGGCTGTCACCCCTGTCAGCAGCCAGCACTCAGCGTGAGCCCTCCGTGCAGGGCACTGCAGAAATCATTTGGTCACTGTTCGGCTGTCAGTTCTGTGAGGACACAGGCTGGGTCTTCTTGTTCCACACTGTCCCTCAAGCCTAGTACAGTGCCAAATGATGTGTCAGGAAGCGAGGAAGGAGCCGTCTGTTATACAGATGAGGAAACTGAGGCCCAAGAGTAGGTTGCTTGCTCATGTTCACATGGCCAGTGGTGGAACATGTCTTTGAACCCAAGTTTGTCTGGTTCCTGCACCCCTACTCCTCACTAACAGGGATGGCCAGTTTTTTTCCCAACAACTGCAGCCGACAAGAATTCGGTCAAGACCACCCTGTCTTCAGGCTGTGTTCTGGGGCAGTAGCGACTGTCTTCCCCACCGAGCATATGCGTAAAATGCGCTGGCTGCCACAGTTCCCTTCTGCTCTCCCATCCAATAGGCAGGTTATTCCCCCTCCCAGCGGCAGAAGAAAGCAGATGATACTGCAGGTGATACTGCAAAATCTGAAGGCCCGTTTTATTTCTATTTCCAAATTGTTCTTCGAGAAGATCTTCCCAACTCAGAAGGAGTAAATTAGTACCCTCTCTTCTGACAGCATAATAGCTTCTGGAGGTCTTCAAAGCCCAGCTCAGCTCCTGCCAACTTAAAAGCGCTTGTTACATAAGCTCTCACCTAGAAGGTGCCCTGCAGGAAAGAAGTAGAGGGATGGGGAATACAGCGAACCGGGCGGGGGCAAATCCTCACTTCAGAACACAGGCTGCTAAGCCCCTTCTTCTTGAAAGTGCAGGTGCTCTGAGGACTGGGGTGTGGGACACAGTGCTGGAAGGGACCTCAGGTGCTTTACTGTGCTTCTGTGGTGTGAGGCAGTCATTCCGGAGACCTCTGGGGATAGATGGGGACTTTGCAATAAGGGATATTTGTTTTTCAGCAGCCACATGGGTACCCACAGATAATTGTCCACGAGTCAAAATCTGAAAGTCTTAATTCTTGGCGGGGCGGGGTGGGGGGCACTTTGTTTTTGTGCAGCTCCTGGAAGATGCATGGGTTTTAGTGTCTGAGATAAATGGATGCACATTCCATCCTCACCAGTAGAAGTCCCTGAAATCTTGAGTATGTGATTCTCCTCCCTGAGTCTTGAGATTCAGTGACACAGTGTTCAAGAAACCCCAGCCCAGGACTAGGCACATTGCAGATTCCGATTACAGAGGAGAATTCCAGAATATAGAAGATACAGAGAAAGCATTTTCCTCACCAGGACCACCTTGTTTCTCACTGTTTGATGAGGCAGGGTCAGGAAATAAACATGAGGAACATCTTCACCCTAACCTTGGGCATAAATCTCCCCTTACCTTGCCTGAGTTGCATTTCCCTTTAAGAAGAGAGAAATCAGGGGCACCTGGGTGGCTTAGTGGTTTAAAGCCTCTGCCTTCAGCTCATGTCATGATCTCAGGGTTCTGGGATTGAGCCCCACATCAGGCTCTCTGCTCAGCAGGGAGCCTGCTTCCCCCCCCCCCGCCTGCCTCTCTGCCTACTTGTGATCTCTGTCTGTCAAATAAATACATAAAATCTTAAAAAAAAAAAAAAAGAATAATAAGAAGAGAGAAATCAGGCTTGCAGATAGTCTTCAGATCTGCCAGCCCAGCCCTCACCCACAGTGCCAGAGGAGTTCTTTATAGAGACTTGTAATCAGTCACTCACTGCCACAGTAAAGCTGTGTAACAAACAGCCCCCAAAACTCAGTGGTTTAACATGACAAGCATTTGCTTTTATTGCTCACAAGTCTCCTGGCCAGCTGGGGAAGCCCTCCAGTGGGCTATGAATTGGTTGGGTTTGGCTCCAAGGTGTAGGCAAGCTCAAGTCTGCTTCATGTTTGTACATTGTGGGGTGCAAACGGCAAGGACAGCAGCTCCCCTGGGAAATTCCTTTCCTTGCAAATCACAGAAGGCATAAAGGACAAGTTCAGTCACATAAGCATATCTCAGACCTCATTTGTGTCACATCTGCTAATATCCTGTGGCCAAAGAAAATCATGTGGCTAAATCTAAAGCCTATGGTGCAGGGAAATAGACTCATCCCTAAGGAAGAAGGTAGGGGGAGATGACTACTTGCTAAAAAATTAATAATCTGTCATAAGGCCCAAGAAACTCTGTTATCAAGCATTTTGTCTTATGGTGAGATCAGGTCCAGAGAAAAGAATTGCAGGGGGCAGTGGAGCCCATGTCTCCGGACCCCCAGGGTAATGCCTTCTCCAGTATGCCCTTGATCCTCAGAGTCATTGTAAGGCAACTGGGTGTCACAGTCACCAACATTAGTGTAACCTTTGGTTACATTACAAAAAGTATGCTGTCGGGAGAAGAGGAGGTGAGAATCCTGCTCTGTTCTTGAGTCTCAGTCCTAGACGTGGCGCTTGAAGAGGGGTCAGACAAGCTGGAGTGTATTACAGATCACTAGCAGGATGAGGATCTGGTAAAGGAACTGGGACAGTTAACTGAAGGAGCAAAAAAACTCAAAGGGGATGTAGGGCCACTCTCTTCAGCTCTCCCAAACCTGAAGGAGGTGTAGGCTGGTAGGAAGGGCAGAACTAAAACTCACCAGAGAAGGCCGGTTTGGGACGAACACACATGAGGAAGTTCTTAGTGCTGTAAGCAGCACAGGGGGGCCAGCCAGGGGAAAGTGCCATGGAACCAGGGGACAAGACTTGCTAGGGTCTGAGCCGAGGCAGCCCTGTGGTGGCGTGAGCCGTCACCACCATGGGGACACCCCAGAGCCCTACCTCAGACCAGAGACTGGCCAGATCCTCTAGGAGCGCCTCCTGGGAAAGTGCGGCACACAGGTGCCCTAAGCCTAACTGGCCAGTGCCTGCAGCCAGCAGCTGAGAAGACTCTGAGATTACCCTCTGTGGCTGCGTGAGGATGCTGGGCCTGAGGGAGGAGAGGCTGGGAATTGTGGGTTCTGCCTTCGTCTTGGCAAAGCCCCATCATTTGCTCTCTCATTTCTCCTGGGCTGCAGCTTCATGCTGGTGCTTCTGCTGCTAAGCCCCTCCCCAGGGCAAGAGCCAGGCGCTGCTCTGATAACCCCTCCATGCAGTGTCCAACCTGGAAGGGTTGCTCCCTCATGGGAACTGAGCCATGAGGGCTCTGAGGCACTGCTCCAATAAATAGTGTGGCATGACGGGGTATCTCCTGAAGCAGGTGGGAGCTTCTAGTGTCAAGTCCATGGATGCTCCCCTGACTGAGAAGCAGCTGTTTCTCAGAGGCCTATCCTGCCCTCCTAGCTTTGAGCTCCCAGGAAATAACTCCTCTCTTGCTTTCCCTGGTTTCCTCTCCTGCCAGGGATTTGGAGGAGCATGGCTTTGTCTCCAAATATCTTCTCAGTAGTGTATTTCCTCACGTGCCAGCCTTTCTTCCTTCCCATCCCTCTCCCACGCTTCTGGTCCACGACCCACCTTATCCTCTAGAAATGCAGGAGAAGCTGTGTGACCATGGGCCAGCCACCTAACCTCTCTGAACCACGATGGCTTCAACAGGCATATGTGGCTGTCTGTGCCCACCGTGCCCTGCCTGCTCCACAGAATGGCTATGGTGCTCAGAGAGAATGTTCGAGCAGTGTACCTGTTCCTCCCACTCTGACCTCAGCCCCTCTCACTGCTTCCCCGCAGGGACTGCATCATGCTTTGTTGCCTCAACAGTGGCACCAGCTTTGTGGCTGGCTTTGCCATCTTCTCAGTCCTGGGCTTCATGGCATACGAGCAGGGGGTGCCCATTGCCGAGGTGGCAGAGTCAGGTAAGTCTGCCAAAGGCGAGGGAGGCCTTGGGGGACTGGTGGTCAAAGTACAAATACGATCTGCCTCCTCAGCTCATTCTTCTCCTGGGTTCAGGTCTTAGAAGGTGGCCCCACCATCCATCCTCAAGCCAGGATCGTGGGAGAGAAACTGTGACACCTCCTCACTCCCATATCCAAGACATCCCCAAGTGGTATAGCTTTTGCTTCCTGGGTATTGCTCCACTTCATGTACTTTGCCCCAGCAACACTCTCCCCGCTAGCCCAGACCCCCGTGACTCCTCATCTACGTGATTGCAGGAACCTTCCACTGGCCTCCCAGCTACCACTACTGCCCCTTCTGTTCCATGTGCAGATTGGCTTTCAAAATGCAAATCTGAGCATTTCTTTCTCTGATGAAAAGCTTTTCTTAGCTTCTCACAGTGCTAGATTCTTAGCAGGGCCCCAAGGCCATCGTTGCCCAGCCTTTGTAGCTTCTCCACCCACATCATTCCCTCACCCTCATGCTGCCCTGCTGTGGTGGTCTGCTTTTGCAACATTGCTTGCTTTCTCCTACCCTGGGGTCTTTGCACATACCGTTCCCTCTGCTTGAAGAATCTCTCTCCCTTCCCCTCTTCTAAGATGCAGAATCATGATGAATGAGACATTCTTAAGTATAGATTGATGTGTGTTTATTTCAAACACACTACAGACAGAGTTATTATTGCTAATGTGATTACACAAAATGGTGAATTACTCTTGCCTTGATTTACATGGTGTTTGAATTCTAGAAAAATTCAGTGTGTATTTTTTTAAAAGTGTGAAAATAGTTTGTGTTTTTATGACAAACACATTCTAACCCCAATTAAGTCTAAAGTTTTTCACCTACAAGAATATTTAGTAGAACCATTTGTCGAGAGTAATACAGGTAGCTTAGCCATTCTGGCCTCCATCTACTCCATGCTAGTCATGCCCCCACTTATTGCAACCACCCTCAGGCACCCCTGGGAGCCACACTGCCTCTGTTGAAAATGCTGGTCCACAGTGTCCTGTTTGGTGTGGCATGCATAGATAAGGAAGCATCCCTCTAACCCACCAAGCTGGCAGAGTGGGATATCTGGACATCAGAGCAGGTGCATGGCTGCAAAGCTCTTCTCTGTGACCACTCAGGGTCCCCCTTCCTCTGGATAATGTATGTCAGAGATAGAGACAGTCCCTGCTGAGCTCAAGAGTCCAGATCTAAACTAGAGAATATTACTATGACTAAAGGTCTCACTCAGCAAGTGCTGGCTCTGGGCAGGAGTGGTCTCAGCTCAGCCCTCCAACATTTGCTTCCCCTATTTGACAGATAAAGAAGCTGAGGCTCAGAGTGGTGAAATGACTTATGTAAGGTTATACAGGCTGGAAGGGACACAGCTGGGACTTACTACGGGCCATCTGGCTCCAGAGCCCATGCTCTGACCATGCCATCCTACTGCCCACTGTGGTCACCTGACACTTGACCAAACATCCATGCTCCTTCCTGGCATGAAAGTACAGTGCAGCCCTGTGAAGAGAGAGCATTCTCTACAGGAGGATTGCCCTCTCCAAGAATCCATTTCCTCCTCTATAAAATGAATTTCCTAACACCTACCTTAGGTAGTAAGTGGAATAAGATATCTGCAGCACTATTTTTTCTCTTTATATCACTCTTTAAATTTTATAGATGAAAGAGGAGTCATAGATGGAAAGGAAAAGAGCCAACTAAAAATAAAGTTTGTTACTTTTTTTCCTAATTTCAAACTGAAAGCATATTCATGGTGGAAAAATGTAGAAATCTTAACAAAGGAAAAACTCTGCACTCCGAATATGACAACACTTTGGGGTTCTACTGTCCGGATTTTCCATGTATATATATCCATACTTGTGGTGATGGAAACCAGATCAAATTATCCTTGGTATTCTGTAGGCTTCATTTTCCCATTTACAATAAAGCACAAGGAGCTTTCTGCCTCCATGAACAGAGATCTCAATCATGAGTTTTAACGGTTATGTGGTCTTCCATTCGATGGATGGATGGATCGTAACTGATTTACTCTGTCTCACTTGTGAGGCTCTGGGGTGGTTGTTTTTAACACTCTACCTCACAAACCATTCACAGCATCTCTGCAAGGTAGGCTTTAAAAGGTCCTGCACTTGTGTGTGCAGAATATGCACCACACTCCTGCAGAGGACACTCTTCACATAAACAGCAGCCCTAGGCTTTCCCCTGCCCACTGCAGATGAGGACCCTGTAACTCAGAGCTTGAGTTACCCAAGTGGTTCACCCAAGTTCACACAGCTCATAGGCGGTGCAGCCTGGCTCTAGCCTTTTCTGGCTCATCTTCCTGTGTTGCTTCTTGTATCCAGCAGGTAAATCTGCTCTGTGCCCCTGTTGGACAATGTGGGTGAGGCTAAGATTCTCCTTAGGAGTCTCTACCATTTGGAGAAATTGCAAGTTGCAAGTGAATGTGTAGCCATCTCACCTTGCTCAGAAGGACCTCGGCTTGCTTTCTGATGAATGATTTTTGGAAGATACCTAATTAAATGGCAGAATATTCAGTGGGATGTCCCAGAATACCTGGAACCTGATCCAGGAAGGCAACATGCACTTGTCACAGGGCTCAGATTTTGTCATGCTATGATCCCACCACTGAAATTTGTGGCCCTCACCCACATGTTCCTTGCTGTGTTTCTGTGATTCTTTCGTCAGGTACCCTCTCCTAGAGGTTGAAATTTTAGACAGCTTAGAATTGGGTCTTGCTTTTTTATACTGTCTTGATTATCCATGTCTTTTAATTGGAGTATTTGTTTTCATTTTGTAAGTACTGATGTGGTTAAGTCCTAAATTCTGTTTCGAGGCAGAAAACGTCAGAATGATCATCAGAAGTGGAAAGTGTCAGATCTGTGGTAGCAGGATTAAGTGATATGTTGTTAACTCTAGGTAGACTTTGATGGGTTATGGATGCATATTGTTGGCCCAGCTGCTTAGGAAATAATAATAAGAGGTAGAGCTACAAAGCTTAGAAGAAATACAACTGAATATGTAAAAATATTGATTAGCTCAAAAGAAGGCAAGAAAAACACAACAGAGTAAACAAATGAAACCCCCCAAAATTCAGAAGGGACAAAAAGAAAACAAATATGAAATGGTAAACTTACACCTACCCATATCTATAATTACATTAAATGTAAATGGGCTGAATACTCCAAGTAAAAGGCAGAGATTATCAGACTGAGTAAAAAAGCAAGACTCAACTATAAGCTTTTTATAAAGAGACACACTTTAAAGACACAGACAAAGTGTAAAACAGAGGGAAAAGACATACTCTCCAAACAACAAGCATAAGAAAAGTAGCTTTGGTATACTAATATTAGAGTAGACTTCAAGTCAAAGGCTATTACTGGAGATAACAGGGGGACACTTCATAATGTTTATAAAAGCAGTTCATTTGTAAGATATCTAATTTGTAATGTGTTGCTACATAGTGACAGACATTTAAATTACATGAAACAAAAGCTGACAGACTAAAAAAGAAAATAGACAAAGCTATAACCACAGTTGGAGATTTTTAATATTCCTTGCTCGCTAGTGTTAAAACAACTATACAAAATATTAATACAGAGGTAGATATTGGAAAGCTATCAATGACTTGGCATGATTGACATTTATAAAACACTGCACCAAACAACTGCAAAGTACAATTCTTTTCAAATGAACATGAAGCATGCACCTAGATAGGATATAAATTGAGCCATAAATAAAGTCTCAATAAATTTCAAAAGATTGAAATTTTAAGGTATATTCTCTGACTACCAATGAATTAAATTTTCCATAACAAAAATATAACTAGAAAATCCTCAAGTATGTATAAACTAAGCAACCCATTTCTAAATATCCCACAGGTCAAAGAAAACTGCATGGTAATGAAAATACAACATACCAAAATTTGTGGGATGCATTTAAAGTACTTACAGACAAATTTATAATTTTGAATGCCTAATTAGAAGGATTTAAAGTAAAAAAAAAAAATTAAGTTTCTAGCTGAAGAAGCTGCAAAAGAAAAAGTATAAATTAAACCCAGAGTAAGTAGAAACAAACAAATTTGTAAGACACACACAATACAATTCCAAAGCCAAATTTTGGTATTGAAAAAGATAACAAAATTTATAATTCCCCAGCAAGACTAGTCAAGGAAAAAAAAATAAGAGAAAACACAAATTGCTAATATCAGGAATGAAAGAGGAGGTATGACTACAAATTCTACAGACATTAAAAATGAGAATAGGAAATATTATGAACAATTTCAAGCTAATGTATTTGGTAATATAGATCAGATAAATCCCTTTAAAAATATAATTTACTCAAAATGACTCAAGAAGAAATAGAAATACTGAATAGCTCTATACTTTTAAAAGACATTGAATTCATTATCAAAAATATTTCTACCAAGAAAACTTGAGGCCCTCATGGTTTCATTGGTGAATTCTACCAAACATTCAAGAAAAAATAATATCAATCTTATACTTTTTAAAGTATAATCTTATACTTTTTAAATAGTCTTTTAAAAATTAGAGGAAATAAGACATCTGAATATCTGAGTATGGTGACAGCTGTATAGCAACTTTTATAATCCAATATTCACTCCAAACAAGAACAAGAAGGGAAAATATATTTTATACAAAACCATGTCCCTGCATAATTTGAAGACAGAAAATGTTGAAGCTACAGATAGCTCTAGCAAAAAGAAAAATTACCAATCCAGGTACACAATTCCTCCAGCTACCACCTATGTCTTCACAGCTGATAGGCAAACTGAGAAAAACTGTGGGAGAGACAGAAGACAGGCTGGTGAAGGGACCTAAAAATGATTTGGAGCAATCACCAGAAAGATTAAATCTACTCTTAAGTCTGAAAAATGCTGGAAAAGATCCAGACAAATCCCTTAACCAGGACAACAGAGAAAGGATTCAGTGTGTGATTTAAAGGAGTAGGGACCATTTAT